ACCATCATCACAACATCATCATCATCATACCATCATCACCACACCATCATCACACCATCATCATCACACCATCATCAACACACCATCATCACAACATCATCATCATCATACCATCATCATCACACCATCATCANCACACCATCATCACAACATCATCATCATCATACCATCATCATCACACCATCATCAATATACCATCATCAACATACCATCATCATCACACCATCATCATCACACCATCATCAACACACACATCATCACTACTTAAGGAATGGTCAATGTGTGCATATATCCAGTTCTGGATGCACTATGGAGTTTTTCAAGCACGAAAGAAGTGAAAGAGTTGCACGAGGCATAGCTTCTTAATCAACTAAGCATTGACCATTGCTTTTTTTCACATAGCAAAACCATAAAAAAATATTTATCTAAAAAAATCAAATTTTGCTCTATAACAAAATCTTCATTACTGGTACATAGTGCACGTTACTCAGATCAGACTAATAGAGGTACTGTAATATCATTTATTGGGGGGAGGGGGGTACTTCCCTATATTTGCTATACAGGTACGTGCCRCCAAACAGGGTAGGGTTTTCAGTGATTCTACTCTGGAACAGGGTATATGAAATCACACTCTCTCCTCTCTGGAACAAGGTATCTATTTTTGCAGTACCGGAATGGTATGGTTTTCAGTGATCTTACTATGGAACAGGGTATGAATTTCAGAAATTTTACTCTGGAACGGGGTCAGGGTTCAGAGGGCTCAGCAGCACATCCCTACCCTAAACAGGCAAGAGTACCCTCCTGGGATTATTTACCTCTCTGCATCAGCTCTTTCCACTTCCACACTGTCTGTGTTATACATTTCTTCCTCCTCTTCCTCTTCTTCTTCCTCCTCTATATCTGTCTCATTGATCGGCTCATAATCATTTTGTACAGAGTCCATCCCGCCATACCAAGACTTGGCTTTTCTCATTTTGTGCCGTTCGTCGCCCTCAACTTGATCACTGCCATACTGCCGAAGCTTCTCAGCAATCACATTTTGGCCCTAAGGTGATTAAAAATTCATCATTTAAACTTGAATTTATAAGATGTTTTAGTAGACATTGATTTTTTCTTAGTGTACCTTTAGAATGATTTGACTCTAAGACAGGCATTTACAAATTTTATGCTACTGTATATATCAAAAACACATTTTAGCTTGTTCGAGGTAGCAAAGGTAACTATAGAGGTATGACGATGAATGCTGGATTGTCGTATTTTGCCGACTGAAGTTTAATAGGTAGTTTAATATCCCTATGGGAGGTGTGTGGGGAGTGAGAGCTAGGACAGGAAAATAGACCCCTTGCATTGAATCCATASAGGAATTCTTCTGGGGGACAAAACAATAGGCCGTCTTTTCTTATGCAAAAAAAAATCCATTGTTTTGTCTACCAAAACAACTCCTTTCGGGGCTCAGTGAAAGGGGTCACTACAGGTACTGTTGTTGTAACACATCAAGGTGTGTAGTGCACAGTCATGATCGATACTCACAGTCACTGCTGTTTTAATCATGGTTTCTGCTGCAATATTTATGCTGTTCCGACTGACACGTACAAGTGTTTCATAACCACTGTCTTTGGCCTGCGCTATGTAAGTATCAATCTCCTGTTGAAGGAAAACRACAATTGTTTATCAGCTATGTAATTATGTTATAGCACATCTTTCCTTACACGTGAACTTTTCACTCACCAGATGTATTAGAAGCGTGCTTTGGGACAAAATAAGACAGTGTTTAATTTGAGAAAATTGAAAAAATGTATAGTTTGATTTGCAAATTCCAGGTTCTCTGTCAGTGGCACATGATTCTTCTCTTGAAATTGGTTAATCAATGTAATCATGAATGATTGATTTGATTTTTTGAAAAGTTAAAATTCATGATTCCTTAATTAAAAGAGCCTCAAAATTATACAAACATGACATGAGGATTTTAGAATATCAACTAGTGAAATGTGATGCTGACCCCAAACCCTGGAACAACCTCTGGGCTGATCTAAGTCAGGGCACGGCTAACTCACAGATAGAACCCTGTAACAACCTCTGGGCTGATCTAAGTCAGGGCATGGCTAACTCACAGATCAAAGCCCGAAACAACCTCTGGGCTGATCTAAGTCAGGGCACAGCTAACTCACAGATCAAAGCCTGGAACAACCTCTGGGCTGATCTAAGTCAGGGCATGGCTAACTCACAGATCAAAGCCTGAAACAACCTCTGGGCTGATCTAAGTCAGGGCATGGCTAACTCACAGAT